CAGAACAGCTTCAAGATGATCCAGCCTCGCCGAATACTCCAGTCAGGACTTGATCTTAATCTTAAATTTTCTTCAGGTCCCCATAAGATTATCAGCACTCCCAGTCAGCATGAAGTAGCCTAGAAAACTATACCCACATTCCCCCCAAAAATGGATTATGGATGTTTGTCTTTGTTTAGTATATTGGTTACAAGTTGTTATGGATAATGGTCAGGGAAAAAGCTAAACAAAGGAAATTAGATTTCAAGTTCTTGTTTTGAAATGAAAAAAGGGGGGAGATTAGATATGATAGGATTAAAGGGTAGATTGTTGAATCTACTCTGAAAAGAAAAAGGGTAGATCTAGATTTAATAGAAAATGGTAGATTGTTGAATCTACTCTGAAAAGAAAAAGGGTAGATCTAGATTTAATAGAAAATGGTAGATTGTTGAATCTACTCTGAAAAGAAAAAGGGTAGATCTAGATTTAATAGAAAATGGTAGATTATTGAATCTACTCTGAAAAGAAAAGGGTAGATATAGATTTAATAGAAAATGGTAGATTATTGAATCTACTTTTAAAAAGCAACTATTAGTTTTAAATATCTTACATTGGATTGGACTTTTGTAAATTGTATACAAATTTTTTATATTGATACAAATTTGAGATTAATTTTTGTTAGAACATACTATACATACATTTCTACTCTTGTTTCTAGTATTGTACCTATAGAACTCATTTAACAATGTAACAAATTTCTAGTAGTTGAAAATTATTATTATTATTATTATTATTTAGGATATTAAGAAAATATAGATTAGTAGTTAATCACCTAAGATAATCGAATTGTAGTCACATTAGGTATTTTTCAAGGTCAAACAAAAATACATTTTAGATAGCCGTATATTTTCAAACACTTCAGAGTTCTACAGAATATGGCATTTAAGATTCTTTAATAACCTAGGTTCTAGTTTTTTTATGACAATGAGACATGTCTGCTCCTGGCAGCCCCAATCTACTTCAGAGAAGATGATGGGCATCGAAGAAACTCCACATGGAGTTTACTTTCTTTGTGGCAAAAGTAAGCCACCGGGCAAGAAAATGACCCTGCTTCAACTTCTGACAGTATGCTGTCCTAATTAGACAAGCAGGGCACAAAATATCCTGCTTCACAGAAAAGTCTGTCAAATATGGTAGGCCTGTAGGATGAAGATGGATGATGCCCCAATGTTGCAGAGTAACTTTGGGTGACTGTCCAGGCAGCCAGCTGTTTCTGTGATTACTCACATTTTTTGGAAGTCACTTGATTGCACTTCCTGCTTACTCAGTTAATATTATTTCCTTCTTGGGTCTCTGAGGTAGTTAAAGACTAGATAGTTATAGTTTCCCTTGTTTATGAGACACACAAAAGAAATTCACTAAAGAAATGTAAAGTATGTAAGGTTGAAAGATATCAAAAGATAGGTTTGGATGGTAATGTGAGTTATGATAGAAAGTAAATTAGGTACAAAACTTTGGACTCACCACGATAGGACAGATATAGAGTATTTTCTCTGAATTTGTCAAATGCAAATGGACTAGACATTGTTGCTATATTCATTGCCTGTATAGATTATATAGTTATTGTGCTTATTGTATATAGTTTTTCTTGTATTAGTTATAGCCTTCCTTTTTGTTTTAGACAAAAAGGGGAAATGTAGCAGTATTTCATTTGTATTTTAATAAATAAAGCTTGCCTGAAGATTAGGGAGTACAACAGCCCCACTGATCAGTCTTACAGCAGGCAGTGGTAACACACACCTTTAATCACAGTAGCCACATTAGTTGCCATAGAAACTGGATGATCCATGGTTTCTATTTCAGTGGTGCACGCCTTTAATCCTAGAGAGGATTAAAAAACAAAAGGAGACAGTCTCTCAGGCACAGTCTCATTCTGAGACTCCTGGAGGCAGGATTGCCATTCCAGACTAAGGTTGAGGTAAGAGCCAGTGGCTGGCTATTTTGCTTTTTAGATCTTCAGGTGGAACCCAAATTTTTCTCTCTGAGTATTTAACTAATCATGTTTCAGGATCAAAATCCTATAAAACTTCCTCCTTTTATCTAAATAAGAAGGTTTTTATCCTAACATAAAACAATCTACAATAACAGCAACTACCAAGCATTGTGTAAAAGAAAGGTAATAATATAAGCAAAGATGAAACCAAAACTAAGAACAACATAAGCAAGAAACACATTCTAAATATCCAGGCCTTAATAATTAGCAAAAACCAGATGCCCTATCCTGGAGAGTCTAAGTCTTATGCCCTAGCTAAAATATGAGAGGATTGTGACTGTAACTATCTAATCTTCAACCCCATCAAAAACCTGAGAAGGAAAATAATATTACTTGAGCAAGCAAGAATTGCAAGCAAGCAACTTCCAAAAGATGCAAGAACAGACAAAAACCAGCTAGATGTCTGGTCAGTCAACCAATGTCTTTCTGCAATGTTATGGCAAGGACTTAGACTATCTAACAGGCCATTTTCAGAAGCAGGAAAATTAGAAAGACTGACCTACCCTGACTTGGCAAGGTTCAGCAGTCAGGTCTCCTTGTGTCCTGCTTGACTGGTTTGAAAAGCATGCTTACTGTCAGCAGTCAAGGCAAGGGCATTTCTTTGCCCAATAGGCCAGTTTTGCCAGGAAGTAAACAAGCTCCACATGGAGTGTCTTTGGTGCCCAGCATACTCTTGGGAATAGATTGGTGCTTCCAAAAGCAGTAGTGTCTCACATCAACAGAATTTTAAGTTATTAAAACATTTAAATGTCATATTTTGTAGGTCTTTGAAATGATTGAAGATTACCTATCTATTTGGAATATACCCTTGTACATCTAGAAAACCTAATATAACTATAAGTACGACAAACATGAGTGACCACTAACCTGTAATTCTTAATACCCTACATAGCTTAAAGACATAAGCTTTACATTGTAAAAATAAACAGTCTGTAAACAGATGAATATCATAAGGATAATGATCTCAAATTTGTGACAATATATAGAAATATCTATATCAGAAGTAGAAATGTATAGTACAATATGACAAAATCCCTTAATTTGCATCAATATGCAAAATATCTTAAAAAGAAGGAGAAACATGCATACAATATGACAGAAACAATTTTACATTTGTATCAAAATACAAAAATATGGTAAACAGAAGTAAGAACATATACAATATTACAAATATAATTATAAATTTGTATCAATATATAAATTATCTTAGTCATGCAAATGTAATTTTACAGAAGGGAAAGAAATCAGTTTTCACAATAAATCCAGATTCCAGCTAAGCTGTTATGAACTAATTCATCTTTGTATATTTTTAGATTTGTCCTAATAGAATTTCCTGGGCTTTGAGTTAAATGATGAACAATTGTGGAAGGACTGCTGAGGGCAAATTTGGGGGTTAGAGAGATCCAATGGATTGTTTTAGTATATCTATTCTCTTTTCTTCTAGGATTCAAATCAATTCATGACTCCATCAGCTCTCTCCAACAAATACAGAAAACAAAAATGGATTTAGAGAAATATAAAGTACAGAAAGACCTGAAGAAATTACAGCGTAAAATTGTGGAACTCCAGGAAGTATAACTTTGAAGTTACTTTCTTTTCCACTAGCTAGTTGCGAAGAAGAAAATTAAGATCTTTAGGATGTTGACTTCTTCTAGTGTTTCTTATCACCTCCTAAAGAAACTGATATACCAGGAAAAAGGCACAATAAATCAAAAAGCTTCATGATGTCTTTAATTTATTAATGAAATATTGAGTAATGTCTTTACATGCACATTGTTAAATTTTTATTTGCCCACAAATAAGGGAGGAGCTATCTATCCCTAAGTTCAGCTTCGTGGCAGAGCAGTGATGAACTAGACTACTGACTGCCAGAAAACTGCAGCCAAGGCGTGGTTACAGTCTGTTGTGCATTCCAGCAAACTATATCTCCTTTTCAAAAGAAACATTTCTATTTTTTAGCACTAGCATTCGAAATCCAAATACTTTACACATTTACAATCAAATTACCTCAGAAACTATAAGGGAAACATCTGTGGAATGTATACATCAGAAGGCTAATTTACAACTTCTGACCCAGAAAATGCTCTTTTCTAAGAAAAATAATGTCTATAGGAAGTCTAATTTATACATATTTAAAATATATTGTTATTGTTCGCAGTATGTGTCAGAATTGTAAGTACTAGCCCCTAAAAAACAAAATAATATACTAGCTTCCACTAAAAATATTCCACAACATTAGGCTATGTGGTAAATTCAGAAGTACCTCAAAAGCATCAACTCAAAACACAGTTTAGGTGCAGAGCTGATATGGTTTCATATCTGTTCCTGTGATAAAACATCCTAACAAAAAGGCAGCTTTAGGGGAGAGAATGGTTTCTTTGGCTTACACCTCAGTGCAGAGAAACTGAGCAGCAAGAGCTTGAAGCAGTCATCCCAGCACACAGTTAGGGATGGAGAGAAATGAACACACAAACCTTTCACATGCTTTCTTGTGTTCAGCTGTCTTCTTCACTCCTCCACAGTCTAGGACCCCGCCTAGGGTACCACTCGCTAGGCATAGTCTTCCTACACCAATTAACTTAAAACAGTTCCCTACAGATATGTCCACGGGCCAACTGAACTATAGATCTCTCACTGGGGTGCCCTTTCTGGGCGAGTCTAGGTTGTGTCAAGTTAATATTAAAGTTAATCATTACAAGAACCATTGGTATAAAGCATTTGTATTTATGAAAAATAAAAGCAAAATATTTGTGGCATACACTATTTGTGCTGAAATAAGAACTAATTTCTATTCACAGAGAATTTTGTAAACCTGACAAGGGACCTCATTAGCAGATTTAGGAACTTTCTTGGGTTTCCAGAACAACAACAGTTTTTCCCATAATAAAGAACAAGTTTACCTCACAAATATTTTACCTACACCCACTTCTCTAATTTTTTTAGCCATGTAAAACATCTCCATTTATTGTTTTTTTTTAACAGACTTAATTCACTTTTATTTTCCTTGTATAAAAACCCTTATGTGGTGGCCACAGCTGGAGCCTGGGTCCTCTGAACAGAGACTCTGGTGTGGGTTTTCACAAGATGGTCAGTGAATTCCTGATAAGGAGACTTGGTGAACAGTCTCTTTCCAGAGGTCGGGGGTCAGGTAGCTGTAGGTCTTAGAGATGGCATCAAAGGTGGCCTTGGCAAAGTTGACCAGGGTGGCAGTACAGTCCCTGGCTGATGTGTAGCAGTCATCAATGCCAGCCATCATCAGTAGCTTCTTGGGCACAGGAGCGGAGACTATGCCAGTGCCTCTGGGGGTAGGAATGAGATGCACCAGCACAGAGCCACAGCGGCCTGTCACTTTGCAAGGAACAGTGTGGGGTTTGCCAATCTTGTTCCCCCAGTAGCCTCTCCGCACAGGGACAATGGAAAGCTTGGCCAAGATGATGGCCCCTTGGATGGCAGTGGCTACCTCCTTGGAGCACTTGACACCGAGACCTACGTGACCATTGTAGTCCCCAATAGCGACGAAAGCCTTGAACCTGGTCCGCTGGCCTGCCCTAGTCTGCTTCTGCACGGGCATGATCTTCAGAACCTCATTCTTTAGGGAAGCTCCCAGGAAGAAGTCAATAATCTCAGATTCCTTAATGGGCAGGGAGAACAGGTAGATCTCCTCTAGAGACTTGATCTTCATGTCCTTAACCAGGTGGCCCAACTTGGTGACTGGAATCCACTCCTTGTCTTCAGCTTTACCTCTGTGAGCCCCGCGGCCGAGCCTCAACCAAGGCCGAATCCTCTGCGGAAGCTGCCACGGCCTCCTAATCCTGGACCCCTGGGTCCTCTGGGCCCTCCTGCTGCACCGGCGTCATCCGCCGTATGGTGTTTTCCAGAAGAAGAAGGAAGAAGGAAGAAGAAGGAGGAGGAGGAGGAGGAGGAGGAGGAGGAGGAGGAGGAGGAGGAGGAGGAAGAAGAAGAAGAAGAAGAAGAAGAAGGAAGAAGGAGGAGGAGGAGGAGGAGGAGGAGGAGGAGGAGGAGGAGGAAGGAGGAGGAGGAGGAGGAGGAGGAGGAGGAGGAGGAAGAAGAAGAAGAAGAAGAAGAAGAAGGAGAGAGAAGAAGAAGAAGAAGAAAGAAGAAGGAAGAAGAAGAAGGAGGAGGAGGAGGAGGAGGAGGAGGAGGAAGGAGGAGGAGGAGGAGGAGGAGGAAGAAGAAGAAGAAGAAGAAGAAGAAGAAGAAGAAGAAGAAGAAGGAGAAGAAGAAGAAGAAGAAGAAAGAAGGAAGAAGAAGAAGGAGGAGGAGGAGGAGGAGGAGGAGGAGGAAGAAGAAGAAGGAGAAGGAGAAGGAGAAGAAGAAGAAGAAGAAGAAGAAGAAGAAGAAGAAGAAGAAGGAAGAAGGAGGAGGAGGAGGAGGAGGAGGAGGAGGAAGAGGAAGAAGAAGAAGAAGAAGAAGAAGAAGAAGAAGAAGAAGAAGAAGAAGGAAGAAGGAGGAGGAGGAGGAGGAGGAGGAGGAGGAGGAGGAAGGAGGAGGAGGAGGAGGAGGAGGAGGAGGAGGAGGAGGAGGAGGAGGAGGAGGAGGAAGAAGAAGAAGAAAAAGAAGAAGAAGAAGGAGAAGAAGAAGAAGAAGAAAGAAGAAGGAAGAAGAAGAAGGAGGAGGAGGAGGAGGAGGAAGGAGGAGGAGGAGGAGGAGGAAGAAGAAGAAGAAGAAGAAGAAGAAGAAGAAGGAGAAGAAGAAGAAGAAGAAAGAAGAAGGAAGAAGAAGAAGGAGGAGGAGGAGGAGGAGGAGGAGGAGGAGGAGGAAGAAGAAGAAGAAGAAGAAGGAGAAGGAGAAGAAGAAGAAGCAGCTCCATTTATTATTATCAGTATATACACAGTATATATACAGTATATACTGTAATTGGAGGGAATTTCATAGTAGATTTAAGAGTTCAAAACATGAAAGTCTCCTTTGTAATCAAATGTCATGCTAGTATCAAGATCTGATACAAATGTTACAAATGTTTGTAAATCATCAAAAAAATACATTCAAAATTTTATTTTCAAAATGGTCACAAGATATGAACAGGTAGCAGAATATAATAACTAGTGGAAGTATAAAAATGTTTAACTTCAATATTAAAGAAAAAAATCAAAGGAGCTATTTATATTTAATAATATTGCATGGACAAGAGAGACAAAGCAAAAGTTCTCAGTAAGTACTAGTGACTTAGAGGGCAATTGGGAAGCATCTATTAAATGTTCTCTTCCTTTCCTCTCCTCTCTTCAAGTCCCGACTCTATCATGCACATACTCTTCAGACCTACAATTCCTAACCATAAGTTCACATTATAGACAAAACGCTCCCAAAGACCTTCTAAACACACATCCAGGACTCGCGCCCAGGGCTTCTGAAGCTGAAGAACCTGTGAAGGGTACACAACATTTAAACTCTGTTCAGGGGACAGCAGAGCACTGAACCTCTCTCCCCTTGCCATTCTTCCACTTAAGTTCACCCAGGAATCTTACCCGCTTTAATAAGCGCTTTTTATGAGAGGTCAAGACAGAGGCATGGCATGTACTCCATGTTGAATGTGTTTGCTTAATCATTTAGGAAATGTTGGACTCCTCTCCCCCAAATGCAGGCTAATGTTGGAGCACTGTAACTCTGCAATCATACACAGAAAATATGATAAAGTGGCTCGTATGCTTTTATATACACAGTCTTGGATAGTGTAAGGGTACTAGTGTCTTCCACAATTTACTCTCCTTTATTAGAACCGCTCCTGGAAAAATCTCTCAACATTAGTAGTAGCAGTGACTAAAGCGGGGGTGGGGACTACATCAAATGAAAAGGTTTGCACACACCAAAACATGAGAGGACAGTGAGGGGGCACAGAGATGACTCAGTGGATGAAAACATTTGCTGCGTTGTGATCCCAGCACCCACATAAAAAGTTGGCATGTCCACATCTGCCCTTGCAGTGGGTTGAGACAGGAGGATCTCTGGAGTTTATTGACATGGGTATAACCTCAGGTTCCAGGAAAGACCCTGTCTCAAGGGAATGAGGAGAAGAGCAACAGAAAGAATACTTAGATGTGTATATAAGCACATGCACGCGTGTACACACACACACACACACACACACACACACACACAGCACTTCAGAATATGGAAACATGGTTGTCCTTTGACATCAGCAGGTATGATGATCCATGCATATTGAACTCTCATGTAAAATCATGCAGCATTTGCTGAAACCTGTATATTTTATTTGTTCCAGTGTTATAGTGACTCAAAGGTTTCATGTATACTATACAGATACTCTAAAATACAGCCACATGCCTTGCCATACATGTTCTTTAAAACCTCGCTAGATTACTTATATCTAATGCAATGTCAGTCTTACATAGTTTTGCTAAACTGGTTTTGTTGTTGTTGTTCAATACAGGTTCAACTTTTAAAATGCTTTTTACCTATGGTGGAATCCACAGATGAGTAACCTGCAGATACGGAGGACAGAATTCATGTTTAAACCATATATTTGATAGGAGGCTAATATCTGATCTTATGACAGTAACAGTCTATGGAAAAGGCCAATAATTATATTTGCAAATACACGGGCAAAGCTATGATGAATATTAAGGCGAGGGGAGTAGAGGGGGAGATAGGTCTGGAGGGCAAGAAATTCAATATAGTCAGAGCCTAACATGTATCCTGGAAGACAGGGAAAGGAGGAAAATGCAAGAAATGGGGGGGGAGAGACTACAAGTTGGACAATGTAGGGCTATGGGGGGACCAACCACAAAAGCCTTGTAATTCATGTTGAGAAAACAGGCTTTATACTAAGGACTCCAGATAGGCCACAAGCAATTTAAATAGAAGAGTAACTAACATTACTAGATTCGTACCTGATATTGCTTTGCCTGGTGTATGTGGAGTAGACAGGGTGGAAGAAGCACAATTGAGCTGAGAAAAAGGGAACTCATGCAGCAGGGCAGGGACTGTGCACCCAGGTTATTTGGGAAAGTCAAATTATGTGTCCAGTGGTTAATGAGAAAAGTGGCACCTGGATAAAATCTAGACGGAAATTAGCTTTTTGGAAGTCATCAGCAAAGAAAAGGCTACTGGAGTTATGAGTGGAGAAGACTTGCCTGGGAAAGGGTACCACAGGGTGTGAATACTGTGAGGGGAAGAACCAGGTGCTGAAGGAACAGCATGCCCAGAGAAGATAATCAATGATATAGCAGAAGAGGTGGCGTTCATTAGAGGCAGTGTCGTCTTCGAGGGTTGTGGTGACTCATTAGCATTCTACTAGCACTGTTTCAAGAATTGTTAGATTCCGCCTACCAAAGATGGCTGGTCCTCCAGTGTAAACAAGTACAGAAAGACGTAAACGCTTTCTTTATTGCTCCTCTATTTCATACATAAATACATTGCCCTTTCAAACACAGAGGGTGATGAGTTCCCCTTTCTTTGGAGGACCCTGCTTTTCTCTTCAGGTTCCTTTCTAGAACACAGACTGTGCCAAATTGTTATGGTATGTTCTTAATACAGCTTGTTAGAACAACTAATGTGTGCACATGTGTGCACATGCACGCACACACACACACCACTCTTCCACATTTCTTTGAATTACAGCAATGAAGAGAAACAGACACCATCAGCAATGATCATTTAGGTACATTCTACATGCCTAAAAGTACAAATTCAGGAATGAGCTTTTCCAATCCTTGTAATTTTCCCCTAAAGTGGGAAAACTTACTTTACAAAGTTGTGAGATTGAATGAATACATTGGCACACAGTAGGTATTCAGTCTGTCTCTCTGTGTAAGTTCTTGGGTATCGAAGGCCTGGTGGGAAATGGCTATTACGGAAAGTGTACATCAGCATGAACATCATGGCTGATGCAAATGTTGGCTGCTGTCATGTCAAGATACTGGATGTTAATTTGGGTTTCCCTACAAGCTACTTGACTGGAACAAAAGCTTACTACTATTTCTTAATATTTACACCATTTCTAGTTCTTGTTGTGAACTAGTGTCCAGAAAGCTTGCTCTAGAAGAGCCTTACAATCACAAGCTCAGCACAGGAGCCTCACGAGATTCAGAAGTGTGTTTACCTCCATCTTACAGAAGCTTCTTATTGTTAAGTCCAAAGCAGTCCCCTGAAAGGGACCACAAAAATGGCAGCCCATGTTGGACTTAGCTCAAGCTGGGTTCTGACCCAATAAACAGATGGATGGCTAGCCAGTTAAAAAAAAAGAAATAATGTAACTCAGCATTCCTCAGAACCTTCTGAAGCAGGTTTTATGTCATAAAAAAGCCATGAGTTCCTTATCCAGATGCCCATACAGCCAACTGCCTCCAGCAAGGGCCTCTGGTTTCCAATGAACTCAAAGAAGCCTGTAATGGATCAAAGCCCTGGTGCTAGTTCCTAGGTTATTCTGGTTTGCACCCCACTTCTGATACTCCCAGGTTGTTCTGGCTCACAGGCCTCCCCCACCACTACCTGTCCACTTAAAGCTGGCCAGGCTCTCCCCTCATTTGCTGTCCTCTGATGATGAGAGATAATCTGGCAGTTTGGATCTACAACAAGCCTTTCTTTCTACCTCAGAGTGATCCAGTTTGGTGGCTTCGTTGCACCTTGCATATATACATCAGTGTAAATTTCTCTCTCAACCACTATTTTTATTTCTCTGTAACTTCCTCTTCTTTCTCCATGAAAACCCATCTGTTCCATATGGCTTCTTCCTTGTGTCCAGACATATTTGTGTCACAAACATAAGAGAAATCAGCACTTTCAGAGATGTCCACACTCAGGAAAACATATCTTTTACTCTGTACCCACCTGCCATCTTCCTAATTTCCCAACCTCTGAGCTATGTGTTTACAAAAGC